TCGTACACCATGCCACTATGCCGTTGGTCAGAAGAGGCGAAAACAAGAGTATGGATAGTCCTTACATGGCAGATCCAGGGAGGACTGATTCGCAGGGGTCGATCAGCCTAACAAACTTCGAGTGGATGCATGACCTTGCAACTTACCATCATGGACTATGGCAGCCGTCAGTACATCTCTCGCGAACTATGAGATCATGACGGTACTTACATTGGTTCAACAGCACCTTCTCCCAGCAGACATCAATCTTAGCCTTGGGATATTCGTAATCATGCTTGTGGTATCTGTACAACGATGCGAGCGTTGCCACGTGCTTCGGCAGTGCATCAGCTATCTGAACTTCACCTGGTAAGAAGGGGACATACCTCGACATCTCGGAGGAGAATCTCAGACTTGCGGTTGCCCTTTTTGATCGAGCCATGGCTGGTATAGGTGCCTCGATGGAACTACAGCGCTATGGTCAGCTCGACAGCATGTAAAGGGAAACTAGCTCACCTCGAGGTACAGTTCACCGTTCCTACAGACAATCCCTGAGTACTGCAACTGATCTACGATCCGTAGAAACATACCAAGTCGGTAAGTCGGTGCCCGCATTAGACTCTTCCAGAACCTTATCAAAGAAGTCTTCCACCAATGGGCCCATGATCACCGGAGGAAGTTCGCGCGAGTTATTACTTGCAGCGCGAATGCGACGGAGCTGTATCAGCCAGATTAAAAACATCCAGCGCGGCCATCAGTGGACACATACGTTGTCGAGCATCTTGGGCAGCGGGCCCCCTCCACCGTCACCATTGCCGAAAACGAGCAAAGCCTTATCTGACGACTCAAGATTCTGACATCGTATGTCCGAGTTAGCAGCATTTAAAAACTGGATGGATCTATTCGTACCTTGTGATTTGTTACTCCCTTGTTGATATCGTTAACAGTAGCCTGGGCGGTGTAAGTATCTGGGCGAAGTAAGTCGCAGGGAAAAAAATGAAATGCCGAACGTAAGCTACGCACCGACGGGCGTCATATGACACAAGACTTGTGTACCGTCAATACCAACCCAATTGAAGGTCGAGTGAGGGAAAACATTACTATCCGAGCGTCAGTTGAGCTACATGTGCGCGCTCAGCAAGAGAACTTACATGTTATTCCAAGAAAGTTTCTGCGTGAAGAAATACTTCATGCCAGCCAGGCGCATCAGCTGTGGATATGCTCCAGTCAGGCCGAATGAGTCGGGCAGCCATGCCGTCTCGCAGCGCTTGCCAAAGCGGGTCTCGAAGTAGCGTTGACCGTGGGTGAACTGGCGGATGAGAGCCTCACCAGAGGGCATGTTCGCGTCGTTCTCGACCCAGGCGCCTCCGACAAGGTGAAACGTGCCGGCTTTGACCTTCTCACGTACGCGCTCGAACAACGGCGGATAGAGCTCCTCGAGCCACTTGAACTGTTGCGCCTGGCTACACGTAAAGCGATGCTCAGGATAGCGCTCCATCAGATCGACCTGCGTCGACCAAGATCGTGCCACCTTTTGCTGAGTCACGCGATACGGCCACAGCCTATGCGAACGTCAGTAAGATCATCAGGATGTGCATATCACACCTACCAAGCAGTGTCGATGTGACAATATCCGATACCCCAGACTTGGTGACGATCCGTGCCCTCATCGTAGATCTTCTCCCCTTTCTTCTCCCAGCCTTCGCCGAAGACCTCTTCTGCCCTCTTGCGTGCTTTCTTCACACTCGCTAGATCCTTGTTGTCGAAAATGTTCATGATTTCATTTGCAGCGACCAACGCCTTGTTTTGCAAACCGGTGTTCCCAGTCAATGTCTCTGAGATCTCCTTCAATGTGTTGAAATCGGCAAGCAAGCCCCAAGCATCCATGTTGGGCACCACGAGGTCCGCCGACGCGAGGCCAAAGAATCTGTTCATGTCCGGTGGAGCAATGGTGTCCCCATTCCATGGGACACCGAACATGCCGTTGCAGCTGGATTCGATCACGATGGAGTACGTGCCCTTCTTCACTGCACTTGCTGGTATA